AATAAGTCCAGGGTTATTAGCCTTAAGACGACTTTTTCAATTCTTTAAAAACCCATGGTTATTGTCTAAAAATTCTTAAAAAATAAAAATTGTTTCTGAAAATTTTTTAAAATACGCTCGTCGAAAAGTTAGAAAAAAAACTAAAAACAATTTTTTGAAAAATTTACCAATTTTTTTTAGAAATACACCAAAACGTTTGAAAATTGTTTCTGAACTTTTTTTTAAGATATCCACGAAAAGTTAGAAAAAAACATCAAATTAGCTTTTGAAAAATTGACCAAAACTTTAATTTTAAATTATATTTTAAATCAGGAAATGGTTATGGTCGTCTTTTGAAAAATTCTCAAATTATTGGCATTAAGACGACTTTTTCAATTCTTTAAAAACCCAAGATTATTGTCTGAAAATTCTTAAAAAATAAAAATTGTGTCTGAAAATTTTTTAAAATATCCACTCTAATAGGCTCGTCGAAAAGTTAGAAAAAAAACTAAAAACTATTTTTCGAAAAATTTACCAATTTTTTTTAGAAATACATTTACATTTTTTACATTTACATTTGTTGAAATATCCACGAAAAGTTAGAAAAAAACTGAAATTAGCTCTTGAAAAATTGACTAAAACTTTAATTTTAAATTATATTTTAAATCAGGAAATGGTTATGGTCGTCTTTTGAAAAATTCTCAAATCGGAAATCATTCGAACACCCATATGATTTTGAGTGTATCCCCGAATTGACACAAATATCAAATAAATTAGACACCGGGGTGGGTCTTGATGGATGGATGGATAGATGTTTGGCTGTATGTCGGTTGGTTGCTTGGCTGAATGATGTTTTGCAAATGACGTTTAATGGCTCGACCAAGTGCAATAAACCAAATGTTCATCTTTATTCGTTGAGCGCTGTTACTCTTGGATGGCCGTAATGACTGCAATGTTGTGTCTTCTCCAGTTGTTGTTTTTGCAGGCTGGCTCATGTCAACAAACACACATGGTGTTCATGCAAAAAAAGAAAAACATCCTCTCTCTCTCAATACACAGGCAGTGGACAGATAACATGTATGATAGCTATGTAGATATAATATATAACCTTTAATACCGACAGCGATGAAGAATTTAACAAATATTTAAAAGAATTCATAGCAAAAATACTTTTTTTTGCAGAAAAATACGTCAATATTACATGAAGAAGAGGAAGAGGAACAACAAAAACGAACGTTTGATACAACAGCGGCACATGACAACAATTGGGGGGGTTATTTGTTGTTTTTGTCTGCTTTTTTATGTAAATGTATTTGGTGATGAGATAGATTCTCCAATGCAGAAGGATAGGGAGCATTTGTTATTTCTCATGCATTAGAGTGTGTGAGAGAGAGAGAGATTGGGAAGTGGGAAGTGGAGAGAGTATGAAATTCAATGTAACTCAGAGATATGGATGTGTGGAATCCACATTGTGGATTTCATGATAATTGGGGTTGAATTAGATTGAGTGTTGTCAACTATGTTGTTAAAGAAAAACGTTTACCGGTATACTTCTCATCGTGGAAAATAATCTTTAGGCATTGGAATATGATTATCCTGAAATTATTTGACGTCAATTTTGGATACATTGCATATCATTACAACATAATTGAAATGATTTCCAAGAGCTATAAAAAACTCAAAAAAAAAAAAAAAACTAAAAAACCAAAATTGTGTGAATTGATAGTACGGTACATAAGGTCAAATGTTTAAAGATATTTTTCATGCTGATTGCGTCTCAAATCCATAAGCCGAAGACCTTTTCGAGGTGTTTGGGCCGTAAACCTTATAAAAGTTATCTTTCGATAGAAGATCTTTTTGAGACCCTGTACACACAGGAAACCGATTCAAGTTGTTTTATACACCGAAGGCTTCTGTAAACCAAAAACTTATTGGAGTCGATATAAGAAGAGAACAGTTTTCGAAGTTCTCCTCCAGACAAACACTTTAAGGATATCTTTCTTTGAATGTTTTCTGCTGGCCAAAGACCCTTTCAAGGTCTTCTATAGATCGGAAATCTTCTTCAGGTAGTGCACATTTTCAACGTCCTCTATAAACCGGAGGCATTTTCGAGGCCTTTTATAGAGCATATGCATTATTAAAACTCTGTGGACCGACTAAGTAGAGCGTCGGATTTTAAGATCAACCTTCAAAAAGTCTTGGGTCCACAAACGACCTTCAAACGGGTTTGCATGTATGGAAACCTTCAAATTGTTTTTTCTACAGAGGAGCTTCAAAATGTCTTCCCTCAGTAGAAGAGTGGCTTATCTCTATAAAACAGATTTGAAAGATCCTCTCCCTATAGGATTTACTCTATAGAAGGACTGTAGAGGATATTTTCTCGGCCCTCAGTCTATAATAACACTCAGCAGCTTTTCTCTTTAATGAAGACCTCCGTAATATGTTTTCTTTATAGAAGACACCTAGGACCTACACAAGGTCGTATCCCATAGAAGGCCTCCGAAAGGTCTTCTCCCTATAGAATATCTCCGAAAGGTCTTCTCATGCCAGGACTTAAAATCCATTGAAATTAGCCTTAGACTTAAAGTGCAACAGCTATTTAATATTTACAGCCACGGCTAAAGTTAGATGAAGTATGGAAATGGAATACTTCGGTCCGCATATCTGTTACCTTACGCATATTTCCACATTTTCCACAAAATTTGCACATATCTGATATAAAGTATAGGAAGTAGTCAGAATAGTCCAAATCTGGCACGTTACAATACTTACAGGGTTACCCATATTCGACGGACCCATCTGGCAACGCCATAACTTTTGACAGAGATGTCACATCGCTTAATGACATACCGCGTTTGAAGCGTCAGTCCAAGCAGATTTTTACCCTGAACCAATACATGCAACGCGAGCGCTCTGAAATAGTTGAAATTTACATTCAACAGAAGAAGTCAATTGTGAAAACTCAACGTGCTTTTAAAACATTAAAAAATGTGAACCCCATTAAGCGTTTATACGAAAAATTTTCGACTGGTAAGGCTCTTTCTAATCCGAAGAGGCCATATAAAAGTCGACCAAGGCGATCGGCCGAGAATATCGCTGCCGTACGAGCCAGTGTTGAGAGGTCTCCAAGAACATCCCAAAAACGCCGTTCTCAGCAGTTGGGCATGGCTCGGTCCACTTTACAACGGATTATTCGCATTGATTTGCATTTGTTCCCGTACAAAATTCAATTGACGCAAAGAATGTTGCCTGCGGACAAACCTCGTCGATTGGAATGGGCCCAAAGGTCCGTCGAATATGGGCAACCCTGTATATCAGTCTTAGGTCAGATACGAATTGGCCAACTGCTTCGGAACCTCCCAAATAAATGGTCAACAGTTAGAATAATCATAACTCAAAGTTGGGGGGATACATCTGTCTTCAAAATCGACAGATTATTTTACTTGTTATACCCTCCACCTTGGAAAGGTACCTCCCGATATTCCGTATTTCGATGATTTTTCCCACATTTTTCCACGGATTTGCCTAACAATTAGTATTTTTAGGGTATAATGGGTTCAAGCTTGTGCGTGTGCCGAAACATTGTATGTAATGGTCCATGTAACGTATCTCCCGATATTCGGTATTTTGATGATTTTTGCCACATTTTCCCACGAGTTTGTCTCAAAAGGGTCCTAGCTCGTAAAGGGTCCTAGCTCGTGTGGCGCAACATTTTATGCATAGGTCCAACTTTTGGTATAGCCCCCATCTAACGGTATTTTGGTGATTTTTGCCACATTTTTATACGAATTTGTCTAAAAATTGGAATTTGTTGGGTTCTAGCTCCTGTGACGAAACATTGTATGTATAGGTCCATATAACGGTACCTTCCGATATTCGGTATTTTTATGGTTTTTGCCACATTTTCCCGCGAATTTGTCTAAAAATTGGTATTTGTGGGTCATAATGGCTTCTAGTTCGTACGGCGAACATTGCATGTCCACATTTTGGTATAGCCCCATGTAACAGCTGATATTCGATATTTTGATAAAAATTATTTTATTTTCAGTTCATAATGGGTTCTAGCCCGGTTGCAGAACATTGAATATTTATTTCCCTGTTTTCCTATAGCCCACATATAGCGATACCCACCGATATTCGGTATTTTGATAATCCTAGTCACATTTACCTACATAATTATTTCAAATTCGGTATTTCAGAAGATTTGATAGATGACCATCTCTGATGCATAAAAAAATAACCTAAATTGATATACTCTTGGACCCATAGTACAAGTTTATGATTAATAATTTTACAACCGTATTTTGGAAAACCTCGCTTTAGGGTTAACATTTTCAACCAAAATAATTCTCGAATTTTATAGTTATCTATAATATAGCTGAAGCTCCTATTTAGGCCTATAATTCATTCAGAATTTTTCGCTGTTTAATGATTCAATAAGTTCTACCATTTAGCAGGAACCGGACGGACATGCATAAATCGACTCAGAATGTGATTATATGCAGTTCTTCAAAAGGAACAATGGGTCTATTTCGTTTCCTTTTGCTTGTTCCAAACAAATGTACAAAGACATAATATCCTGACCACCTAATGGTGTAGGCTACAAAATTATATAATAAATGAGTATTTCGAGGTATGAATACCTTCCTCACCATATTTCTGTGGGGTTGGAAAAAATCACTAAATTGGCATATCATTCTCCATATTTCTGTGGGGTTTGTAAAAATCGCTAAATTGGCATTACCGGTTTGCTGTGATTACCAATATGACGTTTGTATTCAGAGTTCCCCTAACGGAGCTGCTAAGAAATTTCATAGAAGAAAAAAATGAGAGTGAATGAGAGAGAGAGTGCGAGAGGGAGATTTTTTTATTGTGGATACTGTGTTACAATGCAAACACATGAGTCTCTTTTGTTATTCCAATTAGAATCCACAATGTTATGGCCGATTACAACCAAGAAAATATAAAAAAATCTACTTTTTCTTAATTTAATTTCTTCTTTCTCTCTTTTCTCATTGCAGGAAATGTGTTATTTTATTCAGTTTTAAATAAAAATTGAAAGAATCAATTTCTTTAAGAAAAAAAAATAAGTGATAAAAGTGCTCAAAATAAAAAATAAATAAATAATTTACTATCACCAATCGCGAGTGCTGGTAACTTCGTTTTATCACAGCCACATTTGATTGCAACGCGCGACGACATAATGTCGACAACTTCTTCGATTGATACACCGACTTCACCAACGGCTCCACTGCAACATCAACCGCTGCAACATCATCAACATCCAACGCGTCAACATCAACATCATCATCACCATCAGCACACCACCACAGCCATTGTGGTCAGCGCTGGCGCTGGTCCCCACCACAATCCGTATACGCAGACAACAACAACTACCACCACTACCAGCACAAATCAAAATCCGAGCTCGGCCAGTCGGCGGTCGCATTCCACATCCTCGTCGACGGGATCGTCTATTGGCGGCTCCACCGTGCCATTGGCCAGCAATCACGCTCATCAACAACAACAACAACAACAGGAGCAACAACGTTATCATCAAAACAATAAAAATCAATCGACACACTCGCTGTTGACACCATCTTCCTCAACGTCGTCGTCGCCATCGGTGTCGGCCTCAGCCTCGACGGCTGCTGCTGTGGCTGTGCATCATCAGCCTCAATATTCAACAAATGCTGGAGGAAGCAATAATTCGTATATGAGTCAGCAGCAGCAACAACAACAACAACAACATCATCATCATCACCATCATAATTCCTCGTCAGCCTCATCTACGTCTTCGGCCAACTCATATTCGCAACATCAGCATCCACATTCACATCATCATCACAATCAGCAGCAGCAGCAGCAACAACAACAACATTCGCATCACAATTCACATCAGCATTACCAACAACAACAACAGCATCATCATCAGCAGCAGCAACAACAACAACATTTGCAATTTGCAAGGCCATCTACGTCAATGTCAGCTCCTTGCACTGCCGCCACCTCAATAAATTCTCAGAATAGCTCTTCGTGCACCCCGTGCAGCATCAAACGTCACACCACCGATGTTTCGGTCTGCTCTTCATCATCCTCGTCCTGCTGTTCGTCGGCCAGCTCGAATTCCGTATCGGCCGCAGCAGGTGTTGTGAATGCAATTGGCGGCCAAGGTAATGGGGCAGGAGGCGCTGGTGGTGGTGTTAACAGCAGCAGCAGTGGTGGTGGTGGTGGCGGGGCCAGTATTGTAACTCCGACCGTGATTACGCAGAAATCGCGTACCATACCATCGGACAAGGTAAGTGTGGTTCTCTTTCCCTCCATCTTGCTCCTCCTCCTCCTCTTTCATCCCTCTAAGCCTTCCGTGTATGCACAAAAATAGCAAATCAAATAATAGATTTTATTTTGTGCTTTGCTGCAGAACGCATTTATTTTGATGTGGGCAATGGGGTGGAGGCATGGGGGGTTTTGGGGTGGAGGCATGCCTTTGTGGCAAAGCAACCATGTAAATTCTATTTTTAGTCGCTCGCATGCAAATACAAAGTCAAGCTGCTGGGTTCTTTTTTACTTTAGAAATGCTCTTTTTTTTGGTACACATTTGATTTTTTCGAGACACAGTGGTTACGAAAGTGGTTCTGCTGGGAGTTCTTGTCGGTTATGGTAAAGAAAATTAATTATATGGTCCATAGAAAACCTTCAAATGATATATGAACACAAGACCCTTCTTAGGTCTCACAGAGGCAGTGGAATTTTTGAAGGTGTTTTATTTATCGAAGATTTTTTCTAGGAGTTCTATAGACCTCTGCGGGCTCATCCATAAGCCGAAGACCTTTTCGAGGAGTCCTTATAAAAGTTATCTTTCGATAAAAGATCTTTTTGAGACCCTGTACACACAGGAAACCTTTTCAAGTTGTTCTATACACCGAAGGCTTCTGCCGACCAAAGACTTATTGGAGTCCCTATAAGAAGAGAACAGTTTTCGAAGTTCTCCTCCACACAAACACTTTAAGGAGGCATTTCTTTGAATGTCTTCTGCAGGTCGAAGTCAAGGTCTTCTATAGATCGGAAATCTTCTTCAGGTCGTGCACATTTTCAACGTCCTCTATAAACTGGAGGTATTTTCGAGGCCTTTTATAGAACAGATGCGTTATTAAAACTCTGTGAACCGACTAAGTAGAGCTTCGGATTTTAAGGTCAACCTTCAAAAAGTCTTGGGTCCACAAACAACCTTCAAACGGGTTTCGGTGCATGGAAACCTTCAAATTGTTTTTTCTACAGAGGAGCTTCAAAATGTCTTCCCTCAGTAGAAGAGTGGCTTATCTCTATGAAACACATTTGAAAGATCCTCTTCCTATAGGATTTACTCTATAGAAAGACTGTAGAGGATATTTTCTCGGCCCTCAGTCTATAAAAACACTCAGCAGCTCTTCTCTTTAATGAAGACCTCCGTAATATGTTTTCTTTATAGAAGACACCTAGGACTTACCCGAGTTGTCGTCGTCCATAGAAGGCCTCCGAAAGGTCTTCTCTTTATAGAATATCTCCGAAAGGTCTTCTCTTTATGGAAGACCTCCGAAAAATATTCCTTTAGGAATATTTCCAGAAGAGGTTCTTTTGATAGGAAGCCCTCTTTGGATATAAGACCCTGAAAATGTTACTTTTTACCGATCTTCGAAAGGATCTCAAAGGGGTTTCTCTTTATAGAAAACCTTTGGAATATCTTCTCTTTAAAGAAGTCCTTCCAAAGTTCTTATCCTTTTGAGAATAGGAAGCCGCTGAAAGGACGTGTCTTCATACAGGACCTTTGAAAGGAGTTCTCTCTAAACAAGACCTATAATTCTTTTCCATAAAGAAGTCCTTCAGCTGACCTTCTCTCCACAGAAGACCTTCAAATGTCTTCTTTTCTCACAAGTCCCCCAAATTCTATGGAATGGTCTTCTCTCCACCAAAGATCTTCGAAAGGCCTACTCTTCACAGAAGATTCCATCAAGACTTTTCTCCACCGAAGACCTTCAAAAGGTCTCCATTTTCCCTTCAAAAGACATGCAATGAATCTTCCCTCGACGGCAGACCTGAGGTCTTCTCGCCATAGAACATGTGCAGAAAGTCATCCCTCAAGCTGGAGGTATCGTCCATCAAAATCTAACGTCTATTCTCCATAGAAGACTTTCTAAAGGTCTTCCCTCAATAAGAGACTTTCTGAAGGTCTTCTTTTTCAGAAGATTTTCTAGAGTTTTTCTCGCCATAGATGACCTTATAGAGGTCTTCGTCCGCTAGAAGACCAGCTGCAAGTCTTCCCTCAATAGAAGACGTTGTGTAGATCTTCTCTCAATAAAAGACTTTCTCCAAACGTTATTCTCTTTTTAAAAGTCATCCAAAAGGTCTTACTTTTATAAATAGGAGACCGCTGAAAGGACGTTTTTTCATAAAGGACCTTCGAAAGGAATTCTCTCCATAGAAGATCTTCGATATTTTTTCAATATAGAAGACCGTCTGTGATCTTGATCTGATCTTCTCTCCATTAAATACCTGCAGGAGGTCTCGTCTCCATAGAAGACCTTCAAAAGCCTTCTTTTCTCACAATACCTCTGTGTCTTTTCTATGTCTTCTTCTTCGAAAGAAAGAAGATCTTCGAAAGGTCTTCTCTCCACAGCAGAATCTCAAGGTTTTTGCTCCAAAGAAGACCTCTGAATGTTTTCCATTTTCTTTTCGAAAGACTCCCTGTAGATCTTCCTTCAATGGAAGACTCGAGGTCTCGCCATAGAAAATCTGTAGGAAGGTGTTCTCTCAGCATAAGACTTTTTGGAGGTCTTCTCTCAATTAAAGACGTCCTGGAGATCTTCTCCAAAAAGGATTTCCGAAAGGTATACGCTTTATAAATAAATTTCGGAAGGACCTCTCGAAAGAAGAACGGAAGGAGGCGAACACAGGTGTAGGTCTTTTTTCCATGGAAGACTAGCAGGAGCTATCTCTTTATAGAAAATCTTCGAAAGGTCATTTCTTTATAGAATACCTTTGGTTGGCCTTTTCTCTTTAGAAGATCTTCCTCCATAGAAAATTCTCAGGTTGTCTTCTCTGCATAGGAAACCCTCCTCTTTCTTCAGAAAGGCCTGAGTAGTCTTCTTCGTAACGAATACCCCCCAGAGGCTTTTATTTGTATAGAAGACCCTACAGAAGTCTTCGCTCTACAGAATATCCTCATGATATTTTCTATTTTCAGAAACCCCTCTGGAGGCGTTCTTTCTATAGAAGAACGTCATGGGACCCTTCAAGAGAAGGCCCTTCAGAGATCTTCTTTGTATAGAAGACTTTCTAGAAGGCTTTTTTTTTTCAGAATATCCCTTATCTCTCCTCTTATTTCCATAGAATATCTTCACGCAGTCTTCTCACAACAGTAAACCCTCAGAGGGTCTGGAGAAGATCCTGAGGAAGATTTCTCTCTACAGAAGATTCTCAAAAGATTTCTTTCCCTGTATTGAGTTCCCTCAAGAGGTGTTCTCTCTATATAAAAGTTCCTTAAGAGATCTTCTGTCTTCCACCTATGGAAGTCCCTCAAGTTGACGTGTCCCATTAGAAGACCGTCAAAGGCTATTGTTTCTTGAAAGAAAATCCGTAATAGTTTTTTATTTTTTAGAAGTCCTGTTAGGTAATGTCTTTTTGTAGAGGACTCTAAAAGTTTACTTCTTTATACAAAAAACTTTAAAGAGGTCAGCTTTTTACGGAAGAACCTCCAAAGATTATTTATTCTATAGAAGACTTCCAAATGCTTTTTTGTTTGTAGAAGTCATTAAAAAAGTTGTCTGTCTCAAGAAGGACCCCAGGACATTTTTTCTCAATAAGAGACACTTAAAATGTCTCTAAAAGACAATCAAGAGGTCCACATTTCATAGAGGCAATTCAAAACGATATCTTCTTGGAGAGGTCCTTCCCACATGGAAATGGTTTCTTTAGAAGCCCATCAAAAGGTATTTTTTTCCATGAGAGTTCTTTTCCCTGTAGAAAGCTCACAAGAGATCTTCTGTTCCAAGAAGAACTTTTAAATGGACTTCTTTCTTTTTTATGAAAGACCCTCAAGAGCTTTTTTATGTATGTAATACCCATTTAGTTATGGAATACCTACTGCAGGTCGTCAATATCTTCTATAGGTCTCTTATGTATCCTCCTCTCGAGCTTTCCATCGAATCCCACTGTTCGACTTCCTTTGATGCAGTTTTCATGTTAAAATTTCTGCTTCACCTCTTCACTCCTTTTCACCTCCTCTCCCCTTCAATACCATGAATGACAGATTGACTAGTGGCAGTGGTGGTGGTGGTGGTTGCTTGGTGCATGTTTTCCATGCGCTACAAGCAAGTGGAGCACAACAAAAAAATCCATCCATTTGTCCTTGTGTACCACCCGCATATCTTTTGTTTGCAAAAAATCAAAGGCCTTGTAAAGACATCTCCCCCACACCACCTCATCCTCCGCCCTGCCAACATTTGCAACCAGAGCTGTTTTTAATATTGATTTTTTTTCGTTATTTCTAATGTTGGCTGTGGAGAACAGCAAAGAATGGGCCGGGCACAGCGAACAGGAGAAGTGAAGCAAAACGAAAAAGGAAAAAGAAAAAATACATTTCAATGTTAATGTTTTGTGGAATTGCAACCAACTGGCAACATATTTTTAGGCGCCTGTGTTTTAAATGTTTGTTCTGTCGTTCATTCGTTGGTTCGTTCATTGGTTTTGTGGGTGGTGTAGGCACCAATCATTTGTTTTGCTGGCAATTTTTTTTTACTTTACTCTGCTGATGCTGAGATTCATTTGTTCGTTCGTTTTTTTTTTTTTTTTTTTTTGCAACTGGAAAACAAGATAAAATATTGGAAACATTTTCAATACCATGGAATGATGGCAGACCTTCAGTAGGGATTTCCAAAACCATATTGAGTTATTGGCAAAAAAATGAATTGATTTGGTTGCCTAACTGACTGACTGAGTGACTAGCTGGCTGAGTGCTAAGCTGAAATTCAGGGTCTGTTGTCGTTTTATTTTTCCAAAGCATACTTTTAGGCTGCTTTGTTTTTCTGTGGTCTATTTAATGAGAGAGTAACATTTAAATGACATATCCATTAATTTTGTTGCCAGATTTGTTGCCTTGAAATGCGGCAGAAGAAGACTGAACCTAGTCCTCGTTAAGGCCATATAAATGATGGCTAGAGCAGGCCTTCTTGCTGCCCTGTTGAACTGAGAGCGAAGAGAGGTGGATTTTTGGTGTGGTGGGTGTGTATCATTTGTTTTCGGCTACATTAAGACGTTTTTAGT